CCCGGTTGTTGGTTGGGCGGAAAAACTTGGGGATAAAGAGGCCGTGGCAAAATAAGGACCATTGTTAGTTTTTGCCGAGAGTGTCCCCCCCCCCCCAAAAAAAAAAAAAATAGGGGCATTAAAGGTGGCCCCCCCCCACCCCCTTACGCCCCCCCCCGCCCCGCCGCAGGACGCAGTCGGTCGACGCCGCCGAGATCCTCGCCGCGTGCTCCGGCGCTTTTGGCGGCTCCGGCACTGCCGCCTGCACCGCCCCTGCTGCCTCACCCCAGCCGAGCCCGCTGACGGCAGCGCAGGCGGCCGCTACCTTCCCAGCGACCGCGGCGGCAGCGACTGCGGCGGCAGCGGCAGAGACAGCGACCGCTGCGGCGGCGGCGGCCAACGGAGGCAGCTCAGTCGCGCCCGGGGTGGAGACGTACCAGAGCGAGGGTTCGGCTGCCATGGGCTCTATCCCGCTGCACTCGAGTGGCGCGGCGCTCGCCCAGGCGCAGGCGGCGCTCGCGTCGCTGCAGGCGCAGGCGGCGGCCAGCGACCACCTTTCCAGCCTGCATTCTGGCTCGGCCGCCTAAGGGCAACAAGGAGTAGGAGCGGCGGCAGCGGCCCCCTTGTAGTAGACGCGGTCACGCACCGTGTACGTCTCCGCGGCACAATGCATGTTCCCGCGTGACTCTGGTGTGCTGTGTGGTCTGCCCTGCGCCCCGATTACGTGTGGGGTGCGCGGCCTACGTTGAGACACACAGCACATCGAAATGGAGGGGTCTTTTCTCGCAGCTGCGAGACATGCTTGTTCTCGGAGCGGGGCATCCAAAACAACAGGGCGGAAGGGAGGGGTGACCATACGCGCAGCGCAGGAGGGGTGCCCCTAAGGGGGCACAAAGGTAGCTCAAAGGGGAGTGAACAAGACGCCGCACAGGCGACGTGCACGCTCGCCGCCTGCGCTCGCCGCGTCGCTCTCTCCCTCCCCTTCTTTGCTTGAACTGGGGAATAAAGAGAGCTTCTGCGAGCCGCGCTCGGCCCCTGTCGGGCGCGATGGCCGCGGCAGTACCGCCGATTGATCTGCACTGCGTTCACGCGGGGCCCGACGCCCCCGTCCAGGGCCCTTTCGTAAAAATTGCCCGAGTGGTCTGTGGGGAAAAAACGAAAATCGAGACGGACTTCTTGAACGGCCGGGCAACATGTCTTCCTTACTATTATTAATTGATGCTTTTTGCACGGCTGAGCCCCCCCCCTCCCATCTAATCGGCGCGCATGGGATACCTCCCTGGCTCTCCCGCTCCGCGCCGGATCTAATTCCTCCGCCCCGTGGTTTCCACATTCCTCAGTGAACCCTCACCCTTTCTGTTCTCCCGCCCGTACCCCTACCTTCCCAACCTCCCGCCCCCATCCCGCCCCCCCCTCTC